CTGGCCCCTTCCTCCCCCGGCCCCTTTTTGCCATGTTAGTGTGTTGAAGCACAGAAATCGCGACCACTTCACCCAGGGTAAATGCAAGGAGAGATCCGTCAGGAAGAGCAAACTGTCACCTCCCCTGAAAACAGGGAGCCCAGCGACCAGTTCTCTAAGTACGTATATGTGCTTTCAATTCAGACAGATTTTTCCTCCAACACAGTAACAAAGCAGTTCACGAAGAATTTTTTATCTACGCGTAACTTCCCAAAGTTTCACTTTTTCTTGTCAGGAATTTGAGAAGCACAACTGCAACACAAAATGGCAGCTGAGGAAGGGCAGCGTGCCTCGCTAACACTGGCCCCAGTCTGTGCCCCCACCCCTCAAAAGCCCACTTTTCCTTACCTTTTCGGTTCATCCCCATCTGGAGGCATTTGAGCAGCCGGCAGTACTGGCACCGGTTGCGCTGCTTGCGTGACATGACGCAGTTCTTGTCTCGGCTGCATCGGTAAACGCGCTTGTTGCAGATGCTCCTCTTGAAGAACCCCTTGCAGCCCTCGCAGGAGATGATGCCATAGTGCAGCCCCGTCGCCCTGTCCCCGCAGATCAGGCAGGTTCGCTGATCCACCCGCTCATCTGCAGGAGAAGAGGGCAAAGGCTTTGTGGTCAGCCAAACGGCTTCACCCAGCGAGCTGAAACTCCCCCGAGGGGACTGGGAAAGTATCGGCACCCGTGGCCCGGCCTGCCCGGACAGACGCCCTCAAAGCAGAGCGCGGCACAGGCACTCGCCCAGAGACACCGGTCCCGGCAGCCCGGCCGGAGGCTCCTCACCGCCTCCACCCGGTCACAGAATAGTAGGGGTTGGAAGGGACCTCTGTGGGTCATCTAGTCCAACCCCCGGTTAGCACAGCGAGGTGTGCGGGGCGTCTGCCTCCAGCTCTGGAGCTTCACGGGCCCGCCACAAATCCAGTTTCACCACCGCCAGTAAAGTCTTTTCAGCCAACATACTCACAGGACATCAAGTCCTGAAATTCCCAACAGCGGCAAGAAGAATGAAGAAAATAAAACACCAGTTTGCTTAAAAACCAGCCCCTCAGAAACGCCCTTAGCCACGCAGCTTATCAGGAACGGAAGCAGTCTGGGAAACGGAGCGGCGTTCAGACCCTGAGGAGCGGGCGCTGCAGCCGTGACCGCTCACGCTGCCCTGCCACGGACCCGGGTCTGCTCCCTCGGCGCAGCAGCCCAGACCCGGGGCCACACCAGTGCCCAGCAGCTGCCCTGGCACTACCTTACCTATTCCCTTAACGAAGAACAGAGACGAGAGGAAAGAAATGGATGATGCTTCCCCATCAGGATGCTGCGCTGCCCCAGAAGTTTGTTCCCAATACAGAGCTTTCTCTCCGAGCGTCGCTCTCGGTGCCCAGCGGTGCCAGCACCCGCTGCGGGCAGGCAGGAGGAAAATCCCTGAATTCTGTAAGGTCAGGATCGACGAGGCGGCAGCCGGCTGTCGGGCTCGTGTGGATCCATCGCACGGCGCTGGGCAGCAGCGGCACACGCTGCGAGGGGAGGCACTTCGTGCTGCTGTTAGCAGAGGGGAGCAATAACCTTGAGGGGGAGAGGGTCTGCCGTGCCCCACCTCGGCTGCACCGACCAGCGTGTGCAAACACCGGAATCATGCCAGGCGGACACCGAAGGCGAAATACTGTCCCACGCTGGGTATTCCAGGGGCAGGCAGAGGGGCCCTCTCCCACCCCGCTCGCTCCCGCGGCTCCAGCAGCGCCGAAAAAGCACGAGTCAGCACCCAGAACCCCAGCGAACATTACCACAGAAACCACGGTACGGTTAACTCACAACGACCCAACTTTGCTGTTCCTTTTCCAGATCTTTGGCAGGCCTTCAGGTGGCTGAAAATGTAAACTCCCAGCCACAGGAGCTGTCACACCGAGTTCTGCATCTGAGGTGTCCAGCACTGCCTCCGAGACAGAGCAGGGACGATGCACAGCCCCGCGAGGACCTGCGAGCAGGAGGGACCTCCGCAGACGCGGATGTGAAGCGGAACGGAAACCGTAAAGGGCGGCTGAAGGGACGCAGGCAGCGAACCCAGACGGATCCTCGGCACCTCGCATCGGAGCAGGGAGGCCCAAACCTTGCTTCACATCAGAAGTCGGCTGCACTTCAAATAATGCCAGCAAGTTGCACCAGAAGCTTTTCCTGCAGCAGATGTTTAGCCCAGCCACGCAGCTTAACCCCTGGCACGCCAGGCCAGGCTGCCTTCCCGGCCCGAAGGTTTAACCCCTTCATATCCCAACGGCTGCAAGCCCAGCTGCGCTTCCAGGACGGGCGCTACTCAAGGGCGTTCAGGGGGGACACACAAACCTGCAGCACGGTTCATGGGGGTTCTTACCCAAATGCCAAACCATCACCATGCGGGTGACGAGGCCAGCCGGGCCGAGCGAGGCAGAGGCACCGAGGAACAGCAAGCGCATCGCTTTGGTTTGGTTCATCGGGGCTCAAGGAGCCGTGCTTCTGCCTTTCACTCAGCCATGCAATTCCCAGGGATGCTGGTTAAACCAGATCATCTCCAGTATTTCTTGGCTTGAATGCACGACCGCGCGTTCTCCACCCACAGCGAAAGCAGGGCCCAGGACGTGACAACCATTCTCTGCAGCTCCCTGGGGACGGATGCCGCCCGTGGCTCTCCACGTGAGCCTTGGGTAGGCAGAGTTTAACTGCAGCGTCTCCGTCCCTTCCCTCTGGAGTTTGTGTGATACGAGTATTTAATCACATTTAGTCACAGGCAAGCTGCTCAGCAGGCACAAGAGGTGCATGTGCTTTCCAGGACTTGCCTTGCGGGTGCGGCTGTGCTGTGTAGAACTTACCCCTCTGTGGCCAACTGTCCAAAACAGAGGAGAAACTCCTCTGCTGCAGGAGCTCACACGACAGCTACAATCAAAGTAATGGGGAAGCCAGGAGCAGGCGGCGCTGCTCGGGGAGACACCACAAAGCACCAAGGCTGTCCCTTGGGAAGGGGACGGTGGGACAGCCCAGACCACGCAGCGTTTTGGACCTTGCCGGCAGAGCCAGGGAGGAGAGCAGCCAGAGCCACTTTTCTTCTCCTCCGAGATGGCCACAGGCTGCAGAGCAAAGGCTCTCAAAGGCCTGTGTTCCTTTAGGGACGTCCAGGTGACCGGCACAGCAGAGGGACCCACCTGGCACCCTCCCACCCCAGCGGGGACAAAGGCTCCTCCAGACAGCACCCGAGCGAACACAACGGTGACCTGTCCAGCTGACGAGGGCACGGCAGCGACGTCCCGGTGTGGGCGGCGGAAGGCCGCACCGTGTCGGAGATGATGGGTCTGGATGGGCGATGGAGAAGGTGAAGAACAGGAGGTGGGGAGAGGGCAGCGGGAGAAGGGAGACAGACGGACCAGGTCAGAAAAACAAGGGGACACTCTAAGGGACAGAAAGAACAAAGAAAACAAGAAGTCTTGAAGAGCAACAAGAAGGAAAAGCAGAGCACAAATCCAAACCAGAGAAACCATCTGACACGACTGCCCTAGCATGAGCGCGCCGGCAGAGGACAGGGACGGAGCTGGGCACGGCAGCTGCCTGCATCCACCGCCCGGCACAGCGCGGCGAGGACAGAGCCCAGGCCAGGCAGGACACAAACCCACACCGTGCCTCGTGCCACCCGCACCCCGCTGCTCCCGCCCTGCCCCGCAGGACACAGACCTGGGGAGAGCCCAACCCCTGACAGCACCAGCTGGTGACCACGAGCTGCTGCACACCCACTGCAGCCCGGTTCTCCTCACGCAGACCTGAGGTGGGAGCTTTCCGAGACACAGGTGGATTTATCCACAGGGTTTCTGGAGCCGCAGGAGTCACAGCGAAGGCCTCTCCAACCTTGATAAAGCCTGAGCAACCTGACAAACCAGTGTGTAGCCGGAGAACACACGAACACAACAGGAATAAACAAATATACCAGGATCAGAAACGAAACTAGTCTTCAGTTACACAACCCAAGTAAAAACCTACACCAGCTGCTCCGGTTCATGAGCAGCGTTGTCCACAGTTTAAACCCAGCAGAAACCATAACCAATCTGTACTAATCTTTAAAAGGTTTGCTAATGCACAGCAGGCAAATTATCACCTTCCTGCAAATGTCACTGCAATTGTTATAAAACATTAAAATACAGGGATGAACGAAGGAAGCGCAAGCTTTAACCGCAGAAGCGTTCACGGTGTCATCATCAAAGCAAAACACTGCCGGTTCTGCAGGACA